CTCCCTTCGAACCGAGCTGTGGACACGCCCTCTCCGTCAGCAGAGAGACACGGGACCGGGGAAGCTGTGCTGACTCAGCGTCTGCCCGGCTCTCTGTACCGACTGCTGCTCCCCGTTTACCATCAGCCTAACCACATTCCTCCGTATGTACTGCAGAGTCAATGAGCCAAGCTGCCCAGGGACCGTCTGCAAATTGCACACTCTTATGTGTTTAATGTGATCAGCTGGAAATGCATCATCACAAAACTGAAAGCAAGGCTGCTGAGAACTCAAGACTGTATAGCAGGGGTGCAAAGCAACTCAGTACATTTACATAAGTAGTCTACTGTACTTAAGTACACATTTGAATCACTTGTACTTTACCCAAGTATTTTAATGTTATACTACTTTATACTTCTACTCCACTACATTTTATTTACAGATAGTTTATAAATTCATATGTTGATACACAACACTTTAAACTAGAAATGTAGTATGTTCACAGTGCGGTAGTAGTACTTTTACTCAAGCAAAGAATACGAACACTTTTTCCACCACTGCTGCGTATAGATACGTGGTTCTGACAGGACAGCAACCAAGCTACAATCATGATTTTATATGATGTATCTCCGCAGTGTATATGAGTATACAGCAGTAAAATGCAACAAACACATTAATGCAATAGTAGACTACAAACATATGCATACAGTCCCCTCCAAAACTATTGGAACAGCGAGGCCAACTGCTTTATTTTTGCTGTACACTGAAAACAATTAGGTTTGACATCAAAAGATGAATATGACACTAAAGGTCAGTATTTCAGCTTTTAACTCCAGGTATTTACATCTAGATCTGTTAAACAACTGAGAAGAAAGCATCTTTTATTTAAACCCACCCATTTTTTAAGTGAGCAAAAGTATTGGAACATGTGACTGACAGGTGTTTTTTGTTGCCCAGGTGTGTCCTGCAACATTGATTATTCAAACAATAAATAGCACTGCATGTCTACTCTCAGTTTGAGCTTTGGGGTTTGCCTGTGCAGACTGCATTTTCAGTTAAAACGGTGTAACCAACATGAAGACTAGAGAGCTGCCTATAGGAGAAAAGCAAGCAATTTTGAAACTGAGAGAAGATGGAAAATCCATCAGAGACGTTGCACAAACATTGGCCATAGCCAGTACAACCATTTAGAATGTCCTGAAGAAGAAAGAAAGCACTGGTGTACTGAGCATCAGACTTCAAACTGGTCGACCGAGGAAAACATCAGCAGTTGATGACAGAAACATTGTGAGAACTGTAAAGAAACATCACCAACAACCTCCAGAGGGCAGGAGCGAAGGTATCACAATTGTGGAGTCTATTTTTATATAACATTACAAGACTGATTCTTATTATTACATTATTTGCTTATTGTGCTCATGAGATTGCTATGACTATAAAATAAATAGACCCAATCACTAATCCCAGGTCACACACAGTCATATGAGAGTTTAAGCTTGCAATACTAATGTAGCAGAAGCCAGGTGCAAGGCACAATGAGTTATTGAGGCTATGGCCTTGGCCGCCTGGGTTAGCTCCACGCCCACGCATAGCTGGGAATCAGTATAACCAGGATTCCACTTTTCTGTAGAAGCTTCAGCAAAACAAATTATTGGGATAGCGACAGAGTAGGGAGGGACTTCCACAGGCCGGCCGATTGCTGATTGGAAGGTTGTGTTGCCAAGAGACTGCCACTGCTAAGTCTGTGCACCAACCAGAGAGGCCAAAGTCTAAACCACGGCCCTCCCCTTCTAGTCTTGACCAATCATAAATGTATGGGCAACGCCCTGTGTAATAAAAATGTATGCACGCACAAGGTTCGGGGCTCTTGTCCGGAAGAATAGTGGTTACAGATTACAGCTTTGCTGCCTGTAATTTCTATGACGTGACGGAGTCCTTGGCCAAGTGATATATATCTTTTGCTCTCTCATAATAAATCGTTAAACTTAGAAGTCGTCTGTCTTTCCTGGAATTTTGAACACAACACAATCCACCATTAGCAGAAGACTTTGGGAACAAAAGTACAGAGGCTACACCAGAAGATGCAAACCACTCATTAACAATAATAATATTAAAACTGCGGTCGCAGAAGTGCGCGCAGTGATGAGCGGGCCCTCGCGGGAGGGCAGCCGGTCGTCCCCCCCAGTCCTCCGAAATGAGCCGTTTGTCATTTCTATAATTTTCGAGTCCCAGACTCCCAGGTCCTCCGTCAGCGACCCGGAAACGGATTCTGGCGCGACGTGTCGAAGGAAAACAAATTTCTCTAAAGGTGTGTGTGTGTGTGTGTGGTGTGTGTGTGTGTGTGTGTGTGTGTGTGTGTGTGTGTGTGTGTGTGTGTGTGTGTGTGTGTGTGTGTGTGTGTGTGTGTGTGTGTGTGTGTGTGTGTGTGTGTGTGTGTGCCGGGCAGACAGGCGGGTCTCAGTAGCTTAAGGTAGTATCTGACATATAAATGGTCAAAAATGGTACATTCTCCGTTAGCTTACGAGCTCCACGTTCAAGCGATCAACTATTCCTTCGCAATGTAGCATAACATTGAATATGCGCTTAAGGTGCCCTAGATTGGAATTTTTCCGATCATTTCCCTATGACGAATTAGCAAAAATGTGCTTAAAATGCATGAAAAACGCACATCTTTCAAAATGGCCGACTTTCTGGGGGGCGGGGCTAATGAAAAGCAATTTGAAATATGTGTGCAATCATAATAGCAATGTGGATGCAGCGTTTCGTGAATATCGGAAAAACTATATCCGAGTAGTTTGGAGTAATTTGCGACATGTAAATCGTCAAAAATTGTGTATTCGCTGTTAGCTTACGACCTCCACGAGTGATTTTTCAAAAATGTGCTCCGCAATTAAGTATCATATTGGATAGGGGCTGAACTTGTCCTGGATTGGAATTTTTCCGATCATTCCCCTAGGAGGAGTTCGCAAGAATGTGCCTAAAAACGCACATTTTTGAAAATGGCCGACTTCCTGGGGGGCGGGGCTAATGGAAGCTATTTACAAATATGTCCACAATTCCATGAGGAATGTCTGTGCCAAAATTCGTGAAGTTCTGAGAAACTATATGTGACTACCACACAATAGGGGGCGCTAGTGAGCAGTTTTTTTGAAAAATTACCTTCATTCTCGAAAAGGTCGTGGGCTCTGACGTGTGTCCCAAGTTTTGCGTCCGAAGCTCATTTTATGCTATCGCAAGTTTAAAAAAAAATGTATAGGCCACGCCCACATTCTGAATTTGTTGCCACAGTTTAAATCTGAGTTCGTAGTCACCCCCAGAGTATGTGTAAAAAAAAAAAAAAAAATGTGTCCATCCGTTCTTGAGTTATAAATTAGTGGTGGTTTTGGCGTCCCCTATAGTCCAAAATGAAAATGCTTTGGTGTGCCTATTCCCCAAGACAGACTGAACCTATCCACCAAAATCTGTGATATATGGATACATTGTTGCTGAGTTATGAGCATTTCTTTCTAAGCCCCGCCTTTTTGCGAGTACGTTTTGATTCATGGCGGCAATATTTATCGTCTTAACATGCTCATTTTCTACGGTAATGTGTCTGATCCTCCACCGATGCTGTATACAAAGTTTGTTGTTGAAAAACTGAAAATTGAAATTCAAGTGAATATTTAACTCTTTTGAACATTATGCTAATTTACATTTAAAAAAATGTAGGCGGAGCTTAGGGTTCCAAGAGGATTATTTGTAGAGCAGGTCCACCCGGATATGTGTGCAAAATATCAGGTCATTGGGAGTTACGGTGCGACTTTGTAAATGTATTCCGAAATGGGATTTTGATAGGTGGCGCTAGTGAGCAGGTTGGAATATTTAACCCATTGACTCCAGAATATTGTAGTTGTCACCAGTCCTGGCGTCCGTGCAAAATTATACAACTTTGTAAGCGTCCTAAAGGCCTCAAAAACACAAAACGCCAGCAGAAAAATAAGAATTCCTCCAATAACAATAGGTTCCTCGCACGCTCCGTGCTCGGGCCCTAATGAAGGCCAGATTTGAATTAGCTAAGAAGTACAGAGACGAGGCTCAAAAGTTCTGGGACAACGTTTTATGGACTGATGAGACAAAGATGAACCTTTACCAAAGTGATGGAAAGGCCAACGTGTGGAGAAAAAAAGGATCTGCTCATGATCCCAAACACACAAGCTCATCTGTGAAACATGGTGGAGGTGATGTCATGGCTTGGGCTTGCATGGCTTCTTCTGGACGGGCTCATTGATCTTCATTGATGATGTAGCACATGATGGCAGCAGCCAAATGAACTCAGAAGTCTACAGAGACATTTTGTCTGCCAATTTAAAGAGAGATGCAACCAAACTGATCTGGAGATCCTTCATCATGCAGCAAGACAACGACCCAAACACACTGCCAAAACACACCAAGGAGTTTATCAGGGAAAAGAAGGTCTGGCCAAGTCAATCTCCAGACTACAACCCTGTTGAGCGTGCATGTTACCTGCTGAAGAGGAGACTGAAGGGAGAAACCCCCCCGAAACAAACAACAACTGAAAGAGGCTGCGGTGAAAGCCTGGAAGAGCATCACAAAGAAGAATGCAAATGTTTGGTGATGTCAATGGGTTGCAGGCTTGATGCAGTTATTGCAAGCAACGGATTTGCAACTAAATACTAAGTATTATTCACTTTAAAGTCTCTGTTCCAATACTTTTGCTCACATGAAAAATGGGTGGGTTTAAACAAAAGGTGCTTTCTTCTCAGTCGTTTAACAGATCTAGATGTAAATACCTGGAATGAAAAGCTGAAATACTGACCTTTTGTCTCATATTCATCTTCTGATGTCAAACCTAATTGTTTTCAGTGTACAGCAAAAATAAAGCAGTTGGCCTCGCTGTTCCAATAGTTTTGGAGGGGACTGTATATGGAGAGGGACATATAGGTAGATATAAATATGTGTGTTGATACTGTGGTTGCAACTGCATTTACACATGACAACATATCAATGATGACAAAAACACATTTCCCAATAATTAGTTGAGTTTTAATCATTTTCCAACTATTACACAAAAATATTGGTTTGATTTAAATATTCTACTCCACTTATTCACATTATTGTTTCCTTTTTTTCTGTTTAACTTTGTATTGAACATTCTATTTCTTTGAAACCATGTCAGATTACTTCCAGTTCTCAGATTTTCACCAAGGCCACAGATTACTCTGAAATCAAAGAGACCTGTATATTATTTATTCAGCATAACCAATATATCACAAATGCAGTCATGAATCCTTTTTTGTAAAAATAAATACATAAATACATTAATAATAATAAAATCAGGAGTTAAAGCGGAGTACCTTAAAGTGCATTCAATGTTCCACAGACTTCCCCTCTAATAGTGTTCAAGTGCATTTAAGTAAGAGGCACACAAGGCACTCGTGGATCTGCAGCTTCAGTCAGAGAGCTGCAGCAGGTCAAATGAAGGACTTGTATTCACTTCATACAAGAAAAAATGGAAATGTCTTCAGCCGACAACCCAGTGAAATATTCAAATGTCACTAGCTAAGACATTTTTTCCTGATGACTCATTTTAAACCTGTATAGAGGGGGCCTGCTTTTAAAGAAAACATATGATAACTGATATTTTGTACAGGAATAAGGAAGAATGGAAGTGTGTCCCATGAGTACACACCCATAGGAGTGACACTAAACTCAACATTTTATACTGCTATTTCTTAAAAATACAGAATGTGCAGTGTCTCACAATGTTTCCCTTAACAGTACAAATGCTGCATGTCCTCCCCTTCCTGTCTCTCCTGTTCTGGACTGAATAATAAGGTCAAAAAGCACAAAATATAACCCTAAAAACATGCTGTCCAGTGTATCATTGTTAAACAAATGAAGTCACATCATGATGAGACATGTTGCTGCTTTCCTGCTTGGTCACATCTCGCTCCCTAAAACAACTGACTGAATGGATCTGAATGGATTTAAAGCAACTAAAGGAGCAGTGGACCTTGGAAAACAAAAAGGAAATGTTCCATAAACAACATTATGGTCCTGATTCAATCTTGTGTGCGTATGAATTACTAAAGCTACAGCTACTGTACGTTCTCCTTGTGGCTGCAGCAAGCGGCCAACTGAGAGAGCCTGAGAGCACACGTGATATGAAAGAAAAACATGAATGATGTTTGTGATGTGCTATAGCAGAGCCCTTTAAGACAAAGAGTCTTCCTTCACACTGAGCAGGAGCTCCTGACATATCATTGGCAAGTTGCTGGTACCCCAGTAAACTACTGCCATGAATTTAATGTAAACATTTGTCCCCTGAATTGCGCAAGACATGTTCATATAAGAGCAACTATAATGAGTTGCTTCAATGGAGTCTTCATCAACCTCTCTGCCTTCAGGTTCTCATTCCTCTTCATTCATATCACCTCACATTTATCTTTCAAACCCTGATATTTCATAATGGGATTTGAATATGTTGAGTGTCAGCTGCATGTTTCTTGGAGGCCAACGCAGCAAATCTTCAGCTCAAAACAAACGCATAAAGCCGCCAGCCTCCAGCCTCTGCCCCTCCTCACTTTGACTGGACCCCCAGTTGGACCTTGAGGTACTCGTAGACCACATAGCTGATGCTGACTGATGGAATGACCTTCATGAAGTTGGGAGTCAGGCCCCGGTAGAGTCCCAAGGGCCCCTCGGTCTTAATGATGTGTCTGAACAGGGTGCTCATGGTCATTTGAGGGCCCCCTTCCTGGGTAGCTGAGGAAAACAGAGGGAGACAGGCTGATCTAACACATGTTGACTCCTGAAACACCACGTACACCACAGATGCTCCAACCTGGACCTTTAAGTACAACTCCCCAAAATTGTAACTGAAGTAAAGTTCTGGAGTAAAACTACTTAGTTACCTTCTACCTGTGAATATTTTCAACTATATAAACTTTACATTTAGAACTGTATTCTTATTTTAGTTCTAGCTCTTATATCTTTCATTACCATTAGCATATGTTGGAATCTACTTGCACCTGCAAAATGTTTTGTGCTCGTACATGCACTAGCTACTGTTATTGCTTCGTGTTATATACTTTGTATATCTTAGTGTGTTCATTACACACTCTTTTTTACTGCAACGTTATAAATCGAGCTTCGCCTATATTTATCAGTGCTAAAAAACAGATTCCCTCCCCTGAATATAAGTGAAGTCAGCGTAGTAACAGCTGCTGTCTGTCCAGAGGAGTTCAGTAAATCCTCATACTGTGGGTAAGAAAAAGGATTCATAAAGTCCTACTTTCCATGTATTAGCATTTTTAAGACTTTTGGAAAATTGATATAAGAAACGACTTCTGTCCAGCTCTAGTAAGAGAGATTTAAGAAATTAAAATGTTGTAGCAATAGGTACAGTCCTTACAAAAAAGTACTGACTAATAAGAATAATGGATGGGGCTGTTCCTGAACCTGATCATATCTTTATACATTTTGAACAGACAGCAGCTGTCAGTGTTGTAAGAATAACCCATATCCTTTACTTAAGGAAAAGTACAAAATTAGTATTATCAACTAAATGCATTATATCAACAGTAAAAGTACTTTTTATGCAGAATAGATCTTAGTACTTTGTTATAATAATAGTAATTATATTATAATGTTTTTATACTTTCAAGAGCATAAGTATTGTAGTTTGTCGTTGTGGACCAAATGTTGACACGTGAAATACTGCGTAGATTAGTAGTACCGTATTGCATTATGCCATATTAGCATATTTGCATATGTACAAAGTAACTAGTAAATGTTTATGTGAAATAAATATAGTAAAACGTGCAATATTTTTCCTCTGATATGTAGCATAGTAAAAGTATAAAGTGGCATTAAAATGAAATACTCAAGTACAGTACAAATGTGTACAAAAAAGTACTTAAGTACAATACTTGGGTAAATATACTTGGTTACCTTCCACCACTGTGTACAGTACAGGAGAGTTCTGCAGGGACTGACCTTGTGCCTGCATCCGAGTGCGGACCAGGGCCAGGGGGTAGCTGGACAGCTGGCCACAGGTGCAGGAGGTGGTGCCGCAGGCCAGCAGCACGAACACCCCCGGGTCAGCGCTGTCTGTGGCGAAGCGCTGGAGCCAGTAATTCTTCAGAGTCTACAGAGGGGAGGACAGCTGTCACTTTCAACCACACAACAAAGAGAAGGTATCATCACCATCACCCCAGCAACAAACTGTTCTGCCTGCTCCCGTTGGCAGGCAGTACCGCAGCATCCGGACAAAATACACCAGACTCAGGGACAGTTGTACCCCACAGGCCATCAGAATGACAACCACCACACACCTCATAGACTGCCAGGTCGATGCCAGCGTAGGGGATGATGCCCAGCATGTTGGGGACGTAGCCCTTGTAGAAAGCAGCCGCCCCCTCCTTCTGAAAGATATGTTTGGCACATTGCACGATGCCCGAGTACTGGCCCGTCTTCCTCAGAGCTAAGCGTGTCTTCAGGACCTGAGCGAGTGGACAGAGAGGGTCGTCAGGCCTTCTGACAGGCGAAGGAAAACACCACTTTGTCCAACAAACATAGACTATTATATATATGCCGTGCATTATCTGTCACATTTAAATAGCTTGAGTGTTATGAACCTCATTTACATAAATGACTTGCTCACACTTTGTGCATAACTGGAGGTCTGTGAGTCTGCGTGTGAAGATCTGATTCCTCCAGAAAGGAGGTCACAGTACAGTTTCACATGATGGTTTCAAGGCTAAAAGTTCAAATGGGCAGTCAGTCACAATACAAAAATAATCCACTTTCTGCATACAAAAAAAACAACATAAGTTGCTACAAAACAGTGACAAAATGAATAGAATTCTTTTGTTAGCGAGGTCTCTCTGGTAAAGGCATTAGTGATCCTGGTCTCTAACCTCCATGGGGTAGATGCTGCTCTGAGCGATGGCTCCAGCCAGAGAGCCGGCCACCAGCCGCTCCGCAATGCCCAGCGTCTCCTGGTTACTTCCCATCAATCGTTTAATCTGACGGACAGGAATGTTTATGTCATGCAACAGCACAAAATGTGAGGGAAATAAAACTCTTATTGGGGTCATTGCTGTATTGGTGCAAACCTGTTCGTAGGCCATGAACTTAATAGCAGACTCTGGGGCTATTTTAAGGACGTTGATGCCGTTGCCTCGCCACAGTGACCTCACACCTCCCTCTCGGATCATCTGCATGAAGCCTCCAGAGATATGCATGCTGTTGCTCTTGGAGGAGTGAACCTGGAGCCCAGTACAGGAAACACAGTCCGCTTGTTTTCACACTGTGACCACTCAATATCTTCCTTTTGTTTAGTAAAGTCATCAGTGTGTTATGCTTTACCTGCATGAGTACTTTGAGCCTGTCCAGTGGTGCAGTACAGGTTCGAGACACAGCGCCTGCTCCACCTCCAGCCACTAGATGTCGCCACAACATTCCTGTTTTCTTCTCTTCTGCTGTGAACTCATCAGGGACCAACACACTCTCACCAACATCAAAGATCTGAGGGGGGAGCAGAGTATAAATGGTGTATACCATACTCATACCATCAAACACAGATGCTGCTATTTCTGTCAAACTGATATTGAGATACAATATTAGTTTGATGTAGTGCACGGCACGCATCAGCAGAGGTAAGTCTCTACTGGGGGGACATGCAACTGAGCTGCATGTCTGGGGGTCCCCTCACAGGACTAGTCAAAGAGAAACATGCCTCTGGGTTAAGTGCTGATGATAAAGGGGAGACAGCCAACGTGAGCAAAGCTTTGTGGTCACATGATTTTATTTACCAGTCTGGCACCACCCCCTACACATCCTCTGTGATCAGCACACTGATGTGCCGGTGCGGTGTGATACAGTTAAAACTGCTGTATGGGGTCTATGTTATCCTCCATTGGGCTTAACAAAGGATTCAGTGTTATCATTATTATAATTCATTATAAAATTCCAGAAGGTGAAACAAGGTTGATTATCTGCTCCGTTCAAAGCTAAATATTGTTCATGGGGTTAATTATTACTCTTTTTGTGGGTGGTAGGTTGAGGAGGACATATCTCAGGGTAAGCAAGCTAATACAATTAGCATCTATTAGTGCCCGTTTATTTATGTTTCTATAGTATTTTCATAATTTCTAACGTGACATCCTGGAGACATATTTACTTCTTGGTCTTCTCATGCATTGCTCACACTTATTTATTCAGTATATTTCAGTAGGAGAGATGAGATTTGACTCATAATGTTGGTTTTGAAGCAGAGTGTGTACCGTGGAGTGTTTCCAGTAGAGGATGATCTCAGGTATGTTGTCTGCTGGATGGAGGAGGTGATAATCCCGCCACTCATTCCAGTCAATAGTCATTGTGCCATTTTTGTCCATACTGGGGAGGAAAATAAAACAGTTTTATGAATCTGACAGTTTTAGAGAGTAGAAAGAACAAAGATGGCAGTCTGCTCACATGCACTGTTACTTCTCCAAAGTTGTGATACTGTGATCATGGCTCCATCTATGAGTTCAAGTGCATTCTGTTGTTGCAGGATGCTTTGCTTGCACTCTGTGCCTGATTCACTGTATTAACACAGCATTTCTTAGTTTTTCCATTGTGTTAATTGGTCATTCTGAAATAGCTAAATAAATTGCAGTAACTGAATTAGACTGACTGATTAGCACTGAAGATTAACACTATAGGAGCTACTTACTACAAGATAGGGGCCCAGATATGACCCCTCCATATTCTGAGAGCACCCAAAGAGAAGAACAGACAGACAAGGGGACAGACAGGAGGACAGACAGGAGGTGGTTAGAGGGGGATCACACTGAGACATAACATGAGACAGTTGCTGCTAATGGATAGAACATTAGAAGTTTACATGAGTAGAAAAGAACAGCAGCCGAGTTAAAACGTAATGATATTACGGAAGAGTAGTTAAAGAGAGACATAAAAAAGAAACACACACACACACTGAATGAACAGAAGTGTGAATCCAAGATGTGTATTAGAGGTGGATCACAGCGTTTCTCTCACCTTCTGAGGATCTGCTCAGACTGTTCCTCAGAGATGTTCACCCCCAGGTCACGCAGAGACTGCATGATTTCTTGCGAGTCAATCCGGCCTACATCACAAAAATAAGTCTAGAGGTTAGACTTGAAGCTCTGCTCCTCTTGTGCAATACTTCATTATGCAATACTTAACTCAGTGTTTCCCCTACCATTGTCTTGGCGGGGTGCTGCGCCATGCCAACGGAGCCCCGCGCCCCGCCTGAAATTCAAGGTGTTTTTGTTTTTTTCTTCTTTTTTTTTTAATTAAAAAAAAAATATATATGTATGGCACCAAATTGCAACTGAAGTAATCTATCTACGGTCACTTTTCACATTGAACATGTGCTATGGGCATAGATATGTCTCATAATTATTTGTGTGAACATAAAAATTATTTGTGTGTAAATATGTGATTTGGAAATGTAAAACACAATCCACAAATGCATTTAAAAGATTTGGAAACTCACAAATAAATTTGCAAATGTAAAACGGATCTGCAAATACGCTAAATATGTTCACAAATAAAAAAAAGACCTGTGAATATCTCTTTAACATTTACAACTTTCGATCAGGCATTTGTGAATCCATTTTGTATTTGTCGACCAAAAATGCGCTTGTGGATCTCAACTCTCTGCTCGTGGATCTCAAATGTTTGCTTGTGGATCGTCTTTTTACACACACGGAATTTTGAGACAAACTTTCCTCTGGTCTCAGCTAAAATCTACTCGTGTAACTCGGTTATTTTCGGAAACCACGTGATGGCCTGCTGATGACGACATTTCCGCATGATTTCAAAGTAAGAGCATGATGGCTTGTTTAATGCTCTGTTTTTTTATTATAATGAACAGCGAAACGTTAGATGCATTCTTTATCACCATCATCATCATCATGTTATGGTGATACAGTTAGTTTGTGTTAGTTTATTGGTTCAATACAGCATATATCGAGCACTTTCGTCGGCATTGATGTTGAAGTACAGGCTACGCCACTTCGGGTCCCGGGGGAGCAGCTGGCAGCGAAGCAGCCCAGAGGAAACTCTTTCTTCATTGTTTTTTGTGTATTCAGTCAAAGTTACAAAGCACTTCACATTTTATTAATCGGCCTAATTTTACCTTACCAGTGCAGTAATAAAGTAATCTGTAGAAAAGCACCGTATTTAGGTCAGCCTTCATAGTAAGGCTACATTAAATGTTATAATATTCATCGTGTCCTTATACTGTATATGCATATATTCCTGTCTATTGCTTTCATTTGTATTTCATGTTATTATGTTTATACTTGTTTCCACACATTTCACAATTTGGGATGAATGAAGTATCTATCTATGATATCTATCTATCTATCTGTCTGTGTGTCTGTCTGATCATATCTATCTATTTGTCTATCTATCTATCTATGATATCCATCTGTCTATCTATCTATGATATCCATCTATGATATCCATCTATTTATCTGTCTGTC